GCAATGTGCATTTTACTGGATGTAAATATATGCTACAAATAGATACATATATATTATATACACATATATCACAGACCATTAATTTTATTTTCATGTGATAATATAAATGCATGGATAGAGGATTGGCCTTCAACTTAGAAGCTAGGTTCAGGTCCTGCTTCTAACACATCGTAGTTGTGTGACCCTGTGCAAATACTTTACCTCTCTATAGCCCTAAAACCTTTGCTTTTGGTTGACTTAGTGGTGGAAATTTCCCAAACCAAGGAAAACAAAAATTAATATTACATTATTTTTGTTCAGTCACTTGACCTAGAGTTACTGACATGTCCTTTATTTTAAAAGATAAAGTGTCTTTCCCTAATCCAAAGAATTTGTTATGGTAAACAAAGAACAATTATCCTTGATTAATTGCAATTTATAGTACTTATTTTATAGGTATATAAATTGTATATATTTTTTAAACGATATAGGAATTCATGAAGACTACCAGCTGCCTTATTATGATCTCGTACCTTCTGATCCATCAGTAGATGAAATGCGGAAAGTTGTTTGTGAACAGAAGTTACGGCCAAATATTCCAAATCGATGGCAGAGTTGTGAAGTAAGTATTATTTATAATTACTGTATAATTTTGAACTTCCAATATTTAGGGAAAATTCCATTTTTTGTATTGAAGACAAGCATTATAATAAAATGACTTACATATGAACTAATTTAAATGCATGGAGATAAATGGCCATTGACATTTCGGTTGGACACTAGTTTGTACAGAACAGTATTTCAAAACAAGTCATACTGCTTGAAGACACACCTACTTAAGCCTTCCCACAGCTAGTATCTTAAATCATTAACTTCCTTTTGCCCTTTTTGCCGTTTTACCAAGACTGCTGTGGAAGAACTAGTAGAACCTAACATCTCAGCTCTTATTTCCAATGCAGATCTCTAGTAGAGATATTTGAACGTTTTTGAATAGGATGCTTGGTTAAAGACAGTGTGAGCATGCAATTTTACTATCACTATCCTGATGTTTATTTCTTTTCATAAATACACCTGGAGTAAGATATGGAGCTGGTATGCCAAACAGTATATTTCCCATTCAGTATAGATCTATTGAGTAGTTCTCTTGGTTATCTAAGTACTTTTATCATAGTCAAATAGATCATGAACTCCTTTGGAGAGGTTAATTAGCATTTTGTTAATGAGCCGTGATGACTGGAGCTTATAACATTCTTTTGAAAGTAGTATTTAGACTAAGATCTTCAAAATTAACATAACTGTAAGTTTTGTAATATTGCATTAGAAAATTCAGAATTAAATTAGATTAATTCTGTTTTTAAGTTTAAAAACTGAAACATTTAAATTTTGTGGGATATAAAGTATGTGATTTTGGACCAGTCATTTTAGCTCTCTGTACCTACATTTCTTCTTCTATAAAATGGATACAGTATCCATTCTTATCCTCTTCATAAAATTATATATTTATGCCTCTTAACATCACAGTATGTGCCTCTAATCAAAAGTATTAAGGTTATTGTCTGGATCACCTTTGAAAGTATTGATTTTGTTTCCCGTTCCTGCAGGCCTTGCGAGTGATGGCCAAAATTATGCGAGAATGTTGGTATGCCAATGGAGCAGCGAGGCTTACAGCTTTACGTATTAAGAAAACATTATCACAACTCAGTCAACAGGAGGGCATAAAAATGTAATTCAACGTGTCCGCCGAATAACACTCTAGATCCATATCTATTCCTGGGTTTTCATTTGGAAGGTCAGTTGTTCTACCTCACTGAGAGGGAACAAAAGGATATTGCCTCCTTTTGAAACATGGAAGTAACAGTGGATTACTAACCCCCAGGATTACTGTGGACCCAAGGAGAAGCTGTGTGGGTTCTTCTGTGCACTATGAGCACCTCTTTCCCGGGACAGTTACAAAAAAAGTTGTGTAGTCTCTTTATTTTTATTAACATGAAAGTTGTTTTTTAAAAGTTGATTGCCAGTCTTAACTTTAGTTAACTCTGCTAAAGATTTATCTTTTTAAAAAGGGGAGCTGAATTGTACAGGACATTATTATTAATGTAAGTGATTTAATCCTGGTTAGTACAATCTCAAAGTATTCTGAACCACTAAAATTATCCTTGATTCAGACTTTGAATGTACTGCAGTTTAATTTTCAGGATCTTTTAAAACTGAACTACCCTTATAAAATTCTTATTTGAATTTTAAAATGACCTCATCTAAGAGAACTTAATTTATGCAGTTATATTTTGTATACTATTATTTCACTTATTCAGAATCACAAGCCTTCAAAATGAAATTGTACTATACCAGTATGTGCCACTTCTGTGTCTTTATAATTCAAATTAGTAAAATTGTAGAAAGTCTACTTGCATAATCAGATCTACAGAGGCTAAATTGAAAAGGTTAATTTAGCTAATTGAAAATATATAGTATTTTTGGCATATAATTATACCATTCTTAAAAATCTTACCAAAATATGCTTTTAAACCACTATGGCAATTAGATAGTATTAAAGTTAGCTAATTTAGTTATGGTCACATTTTAACAATGTGCTATTGAGTTTTAATTGTAATATCTGTAGAATTTTTTTTTAAATCAAGTGGCACTCTTTAGATGCTTATAGTACTTTAATAATTTAAAATGAGCATAAAGACTAATTTTTAAAAGGGAAAGTTTGCTATATTTAGCTGTTTGTAAAAAGGTGTTTGTGTGTGGCTCTATAAACTTTTTTTCTTTATCTGATCAAAAACTTTTTTTTAACAATGTAATTACCACACTGTTAAACTTCAGCAGATTTTTTTTTTTCCCTTAGAAAAGTGAAAGCAATTTATAGGCTGAAAGATAATGGTTGTGCAAGATACAAGTGCACCAGTTAAGTAAAAGTAAACTTGTCCTGTGGCTTCTGTTGATATTTTTGTAATCAAGTTGAAGCTAGAGTGCTTTCTGAGGTATGGTTAGAACCTGGAAGGTGACGAAGCTTTTAATTCAACTTTTCCTCTGTGTAATATGAGCAGAATGTTACAACATGCTTAATATGTATTTGAATTTAATTTACCACTTGGTGTTTAAGACAGAAAAATCTGAAAGTATCGAGTGAATTTCAACATTCATAAATGTTTTTTTAAATCAAGTACATAAAGTAAATTTGTCATAGACTTCAAATTAATGAGTTGAGTTTATAGCTGTCCTTTTCTTCCAGTGCTTTAAAATCTTTTCAGTGTTTTCCCAGTTTTCATTTAATCACTGTCATTTATCCAGTTCTAAAAGACACCCCTGAAGATAACTGTAATAAGTTGTCTTTGAATTTATAGTGTTATCCATTTTAAAATAAATAATTGGAATAACTTTATAGTATTTTTATTTTAAAAATGATAGCCATGCAACTGAATAGGAGGTGCATTGCAATATCTTGTCTCTTAAAATCTGACAGGACAAATTTGAGAGACAGTTAGTCCAAAACCAAAGTAATATTAGAATTAAGTGACATGTTATTTACAGATTTTGCATTTATTTCACTTATTTAAATACATTGTGAGCGAAACCATAATTAGTAGCCATACATACATACATACATACATACATACATACAGCATAGTATTCTAATTTGCATAAATTTGGGCTTTTTTTTTTCCCTGTAGTTATCCCAAAAAAAGTTTGGGAAATTCATTTTTGTAATTGTTATATTATTAAACAAGAAATAGGTACATCTAGCTTTGTGAACACTTTAAAAAATTAAGATTTGTAAACTCAATTCATTTGCTTTTATTAAATTCAGGGGACCAATACATTTTATCATTTAAAGGATTTTATATCATTTTTGAATATACCAAAATTTCTTGTCTAATTAAAAAATTATAGTGCATGATTTCATGATTTGTAAAGGGTAAAATTTCAACAAAGAACATATTTAATATCATTAGAAGGAAGGTTGAATTAACATTAGACTGTTCCTGGCTACCTGGGCATAGTAGGCATAGATATACTTTTCTTAAATCAGGGATTTCAATTAGTAAATTTCTTTATTAGGTTCTAACATAGTTTTATTTATGAATACAACTTGCTGTTTGGGCCAATGATAGTTTACATAACCCCAAATTATCTAATATTGGAAAAGATGTCTTAAAAGTAAAAATGAACATTTGTGAGGCAATAACTGTAAGTGAAAATAGCCTGAAGGTGTTAGTTTGATAATATGGAAACAGTTGCCTTCTTGCATGCTGTTTACGTTTCATATATTTAATCCTAAAAATAGATAACACGAGTTAAAATGTCATCTGTCCAAAAACCCCATCCCCAACCTGGAAAGGGAGCTACAAAACAGAGCATATTGTTGTGTCCTCAAGCAGCACCAGATCTACAATGTTACTCTTTGCCAACTCTTTAATTTAGAGTCTACAACTTTTTCCTAATGAATTTCTTTGGATTTTCCTGGAATCAGCTTATGGTTGCTGACTGAAGTTGTCCACTGTTTAACAACATCCTTTAATTCTCAGTGAGTGAGGCATGATAGTGGCAACCAGTTTTCAGATTAACCAGATGTTATTAAAATCTACCAACAGATCATAGCCTTCTGAGTGGAGCTCTCCACCCTGAAACTCCCACAGACTTGTATGAGATTTGGGGATATGACAGAGGTTGCCAGTTGTGGCAGTGCTGTTTGAGCTGGAAATCATGGAAAGCACAGGGGAGACTCTAGATCCAGTAGTGGTGTGGGAACTATGCCTTTGCCTCAACCAGGTTCATTGTATAATCAAAAAGTGCCTACACTAAGCAAGAATGGACATTTCTGTAATAAATACTAAATTTACCTTCCCTTAAACTAAATTTGGAAGGGTTAATTAGCCTGTTATTTTGGATTATGTAAACCAATGTTTCCTAGTTCCTACTCAAAAAAGGTATGCTATGCAGATTAAAAGTGTGAGCAAAAATAGTAGAACAAAATCTGTTACTTTTTGCTATGTTTCATTAATATTTCATTCATGTCCTTTTATTGAACCAGTGATTGAAAGTGAAATGTTACAGGTATTTCTTTTGTTTGGCAAATGGGAGAGAAGATTCTTGTTCCAATTTAGCAGATTTCTAGTCTAGTTGAAAAGGAAATGACAGTTCTCAGATGATTTCAGTTCTTTAAGAGTGGTACTGGATTGGACTGTCACTGATGCTTCGAGGAACCATTTGGAATGCTGGAGTACTTCTGTATGCTAGAATGCTGGATTTCTTGAATGTTTCAGAGATGATAGTACAACATTGGCACTTTTCACTCCAATGCTAAATTTTTGTGTGTGTTGTTATACCTTTAAAAATGTGGCTAATAACATTTGACTCTTTGTAGAGCATAAAGCTTTCATTAATTTTTCTAAACAAAATTTGTAAAATAAGTCATGAACCATTTTTTATATCCTTTTTCACATCGTGCCATTGAAAATGATTATAGAGGTATTTGGTGTTAATTTACATGTAAAGAAAATGCTTCAATATATCATTTGCTTTAAACCTAAATTACCTCTTGAAAGACCAAGGTACATTTACCTCATCGTGTATATAATGTTTTAATATTTGTCAGAACATTCTCTTGATTTGCAGTTGTTTCTATAAACTATGGGTATTATATCGCTAAATTTACAACTCCAATGGTACTGTTTATAATTGTGCCCCATATGACACCATCTATCCTTTCTATTTTCTGTATTTTATTGTATTTTTGCAAATTGTTGTGGCTTTCAATATAGCATATGCCCTTCTAGAGATGTACAAATTATGACCTGTATAAAATTTACATTTTAGGTGATTAAATTTGCAAAGCTTATACAGATGACAAAAAAAAAATCACAAACTACATTTCCCCGTAAGATTTTGGAAATTATATATTGTATTTGTAGTACCTACCCAAAATGGATTTGTAAGTAGGAAGTAGAAGAGTAATGCTTATGTTAGCATTTAACACTACAATAGAAAGGTTAAAGCAATGCAAATAAACTACTCTTTTTCCAAGCACTATTATTATAAGTTTAATGTGTGTTAATTGTACCATACACTATGATCTCAAGCAGGAATGAGCCTTCCTTGTTAAGAAACTTATATTTATAAAACAGGTGGAGGGCAGGGACTTTTAGGCAAGGTGGTTGAGTAGTTGTTGTTCTTACGGTCAGCTTTCCTTTATCGTCTTGTAAGAGCAAGAAAAGCAGCATGTAAATGGGGGGGGGGGCAATACAAAAAGAAGGCAGGAAATACCCAAGAAATATTTCATAAAAACATAGCAGAGACTAGAGAAAGGAATAAGCAATAGTGTTACTATTATAAAATAATAATAAATATTAGTTAACAAAAGCCAGCAAGTAGAAATCTCCAGAGGAAAGGAGTAATACTGCAATAAGAACTAGACCCAACTTCGAGAAACTCCAGAATGATTTTTAAATCAGCATTTTTGGGGACAATACAAGGATGGAAAATTGACCTATTACTAATAAAGGACAAGAGAATTGATTTAGATTTAGATTTGATTGATTTAGATTGAATTAGATTGATTTAGATTGAATCAGATTGATTTAGAACAAAGGGTTAAATCTTAGAGCAATGTACAGTAAAACATGGCAGAGTACAGTGTACATTTGAAAGTTGGCAAAGTAAGACATTTGAAGTCCTCACAAACCAAATGCAACCATAAAGCTTATAGACCTAGCTTGACTGGTCTCCCAGAAAACCATAGTGAAAGGGCCATATTTCAGAAAATCATGCAAAAATACTACAGTGAAGGTAACAATCCACAGGCTACTGTCATAAAGAAACCTTAAGTTTAACTCAGAAATATAATCACCAAGATCCATACTTTTAGTATCAGAATCTTACAAGTGATCAGAAGGCATTTTACATATTGAACACTAGTTAAAATTATTTAGGGATATTATTCCTTGATGACAAGAAATGGAAAGCTTCAATATAATATAACCCAAGGGATTGGTTGACACTGAAATTACAATCCATAAAGCTTAAAGTATGCTCTAAGAAAAGTTTGGTCTTCAAACATTCTTCCTAAGAAAATCAGAAATGAGCAGTGCCTTTGACATACATTCTCGGGTTATAGCGTGTAATTCAGTAAAATTGTAACTATTAAAGGCAATATGAAGAAAAGATACAGCCCTAAATGAGTTACTAAATGTTGAGTAGGTTCAAAGAACAACTCATTGAAATAATCATTGTGTTAAATAAAATGAGGCAATTTATACAGGGGCTGCAGTTAGGGGGTGGGGTGGGTAACTTGGCACTTTCAATAACAAAATGTGTCATAAAAACAATACCCCCCTCCTCCAATAGAAAACCTATGTTTCACTCCCACCGTTCTACTTAAAATTTTGTGCATGAATCAAATTTTAAGGTTTTCTTATCCATTCTGTCAACAAACCCAACAATTATAATCCTTAAACAAGTAAAAATAAGTTTGAAAATCAAAAGGAAAACCAAATAAATGTGAAACAATGTCTGTTGAACTGATAAAATAATCTTTTTTTAAAGACTAAGAATTATTAGCTAATTTGACAAAGATTGGAAGAAAAGAAAAACCAAAGCCAATTCTGAACCAAGATTGAAAAGGAGAAAGGCAGAGTTTGAACAGATAAGAAAAGTAAAACAGGATTGGGAGTCAAAGGACCTGTATTCAAATCCCAAATGTTATTTACTACCTGTGTGACCTTAGGCAAGTCAGTTAACCTCTACTTCAGTTTCCTCATGTGAAAAGAAGGGGTTGGACTAGATGAATTCTAAGGATTGTAGGTCTAAATTAAAGCAATCATCCCATTAAATAAAATCAGAAGCTATCACATCAAATATATGCTAATAACTGAAAGTAGAAATTGATTAATGGCTACAAAAATACAGACACTGATTAATACAAGAAAAAGATCACCTCAACCCAACTCAGAAAAAAATTGAACAAGCCACAGATGAATTCCCAGAGAAAGACTTTAGTGGATTTGAGTGAATTCAGTGGAACATTTAAAGAAAAAGTAATTCCTGCAGTGTATAAAGCTACTCTTAAAAGTTGGGGGGGGGGGGACCGACTTTACCAACTTTCCTGTTAGGCAAATATGAGCCTTAACCTGGGAGAGATAAAAAAGGAAACGTGTATAGTAATAGTCTATCAGTAATAGAAATTGATGACATACAGTTAAACAGAAAATATAGCAATATATCCCCCCAAAAACTTCATTATTACCATGGATTTAAATCAAGAATGCAAAAATGATTCAACTTTAGGAAAATATGGCCTGATCATCTTAATGACAATAGTGGAAAGCACAGGATTACACCAATAAGCAGAAAAGGCCTTTTAATAGACTGCAACATATGAAAAATGCTAAAACAAATGAAGTCCTTTCAGCACAATCAAAAGCATTTATCTAAAGCAAAGGTCTAGTATTATTTGTGATAGAGAAAGACTGGAACCTTTCTCAGTGAAACCAGTGGTAAAGGATGTCCACTGTGTTCACCATTACTAGGTATATTAGTAAAAAGACTAACTACAAAAATACAATGAGGAAGCAAAATTATCTCAATTTGTAGGTAAAGTCCCCAGACAAATCAGCATCAAATTAAAACAATAGCTTGAGGAAAGTAGCAAGAAACAATCCACAAAAATCTGAATTTTTTTAATATTTCTAACTCCTTGGGAGGGAAAGAGGGGAGACAAGACAGTGACTCCATAGAAAAAATGAAGTGCATACAATACCTGAATTAACTTAACTCATCGTGACTCTAGGACTCACATAGGAATGATATAAATAGGACTGCAAAAATAAATTTTATAGAAACAAAGGAAAATCTAAATAATATAGGAATTGAGGAACTCCTGGACTCTGGGGACTTTGGGCAATAGTGTCATGTCATTTAAAGCCCAGCCAGTGCACAGTGTAAATAGGAGGATAAGTGGTCAATGAACATAAACGAGCAGCTCTCCAAAGAAGAATTAAAAACTAGTAATAACCATATTAAAGATTTTCTCTAATAAGAGAGAAATTGTCAAAACTAAGGTTTCACCTCACATCTAAGCAAATTGACAAAAGACAACAAAACAGAAATAGTGGAATATGGAAAGAAGCAAACTACCACACTGTTGGTGGAACTGAACTGCTCTAATCATTCTGGAAAACAACTGGAATTATTTTTTTAAAAATGTCCATACCTTTTGCTTCAGGAAAAGAGGTGAATGAGGGGGAAAAAAGGTCCCATATACATCAAAATATTTTTAGCAGGACTTTCTTTTTTTAAGGCAGCAAAGACTTGCGAGTAGATCTACGTCTACTAGGGAATGATTAAACCATTTTTGGCATGTGAATGTGATGAATTACTGTGTGAGAAATGATGAATATGACTAGTACAGAGAAGCATAGGAAGACATTAGTTGAAGCAAACAGAAGCAAAACCAGGAAATAGGCACTAATGATGTACATGGAAAATACCAACAACAAGAACAAAAAAAGCACTGAAGAGCGTGAAATTTTAATGGCTAAACTTGACCCCAAAGAAGATACATGAAAAAACACCTCCCCCATTTCCATATAGAAGTGGGGGGGGGGGGGAGCAGACTGACTATATATATATACATATATATATATACACACACATACACACACACACACACTTCATATATTGTCAGACTTTTTCAATTAGACAATTCACTTTTTCAATTCAATTGATTTTGATGAACTGGTCTTTTCCTCTTTAAAAATTTTCTGTTTGGTGCAGCTAGGTGGCACAGTGGATAGTGCTCTGGGGGTCAGGAGGACCTGAGTTCAAACCCAGTCTCAGACACATAACACTGTGTGACTGAGCAAGTCACTTAACCCTGATTGCCTCACCAAAAAAGCAAAAAAAAAAAAATTTTTTTTTGTTATAGGGGATTAGTCTCTGGAATGTATAGGAGAAATTAAAATGTGGGTGAAATAAAAGATACCAATGCAAGTTTATTTTTAGAATTTTTACCAATTATTACTTTACATGCCCTTCATTTCCAAATATATCCTCTTCCCTCCATCATCAACCATCCCTTGTTATAAGGAATAAAAAACAGGGGAAAACTTAACCAGCACTGAATTTGATACAATATATGTAACATTCCACATCCCTAGTCCACATTTCTGCAAGAACAGGAGGGAGAGGAAATCTAGAGTCCCTCAGACTTTTCTTTACTGCCAAGCAAATGGAAGACCTCTTACACTCTCTTGACCCAATGAAAATTGTTAATGTGTCTTAATTTCCAAGGGGATTCCTTCCCATTTTCCCCACCCAGACCAGGGAAATAGGGCCTTTCTGGTGTCTTTCCTCATGGGTCAGGCTGCCTAATAGCTTACTCTCTCCTTCATGGATAATAGCCCCTTAGTGATCAGTGTGGAGGGATTTCTCCAAGAAAGTTCTGAGAGCCAATCTGAATAACAAGGAGATCCACTAGGTTCTAACTAGGATAAGAAATGCCAGCTCTTTCTGGACTCAGATTCATGACTTGGCATGGAATACTGCTCTGGTAGATTAGTTTTTAGAGAGTATAACCTTGCCCATTCAGGATAAATGAGCCTTGGCAGACATAGCTATTGACCTGTTTGCACTTATTTGGCACTTTGTCTTCACAGAGTTCCACCTCTATTCATGGTCACCCTCGTACCAGGCTCTCCAACACATTCCTGCTTGCCCACTGGGAGCTGTTAGTAGACGGGGGGGTTGGGGCACAGGGGGTGAGGTAGGGGTGGAGGCTTTGCTGATATAGCTTGCATGGCAGTTATGTGATGAAATAAGAAGACTTCCTCTTCTGCCTCAGATACAACTAGCTGTGTAATCTTGGGCAAGTCCCTTAAAGCTCTGTGTGCCTCAGCTTCCTCATCTGTAAATCAGGTATAATAATAGCACCGACATCACAGAGTTGGAGTGCTTTGCAAACCTTAAAGCACTATATGGCATGCAAAAAATTGCTATGTAAGGTGTGTAAAAAAATGCTGGCTTTTGTCATCATC